AAGCTAACTAAAAAGTTAGACAGACAGACAGACTTTCTCGCGTTCTTTTAATAAAACTTGTCTGGAGAAATCATTGCTGCCTAAATAAACTCCATATATTACATAGATATACAAAAAAAATACACAGTACTTGAATACGAACGTAGCAAAATTCGATTGTACTCAGGAACAATTAAAATAAAATTAAAATAAATATGCACTCTGGTAAATTTACGGATTATATAAAACAACTAATTCGGAAATATAAAAAAAAATAGTGTTGGTTTATTTGTTTTTATTAATAAGGCTTCCAGCCTTCTTTTGCATGTAGATGATGCTATTATGTATGTTACGAATAGTGTCCGGTAGGTCTCCATGTATATTTAAATGAGATCGAATTGAGCTATGGTCAGCAAGGTGTAGAGTGAGTCGGCGTGTCAAACATGTTTTTGCACGGCGAATATAATTATTTACGAATTTTGATTGATCAGGAATAATATTCCTTAATGGGCATTTAAATCCAAATTTAAATCTATCTATCTATCTATCTATCTATCTATCTATCTATCTATCTATCTATCTGTTGTAGTGTGGCCTATATAATTATTTTCAAAGGGTATCTATTAAAAATATTGTTTAAGTAAAAATAATATATTAGTCACACACACACACACACACACATATATATATATATATATATATATAATTTTAAGATATATTAAATTTCTTTTATTTTCATTTAGTTGTAAAGATAAAGATAACTAAATAGTTGGACAGACAGAATTTGTTGTTTTTTTTTACTATAACTTGTTTGAAGAAATCCTTGTGGCCTAAATAAACTTCATATATTACATAGATATACAAAAAAATACACAGTTCTTCAATACGAACGGAGCAAAATTCGAACGTACTCAGGAACAAAATTAGCATGAGATGAACTTGACAGAAGAGTCAAAAAAATGAAAAATAGCTCTGAGAATCATTGAAAAAAAAATGTAATCAACTTATACAATGTTTTTTTTTGTCATGATAAATTTCTAATAACTTTTTTTAACCAACTATAATAACTTCTCTTATTTCAAGTGAAAAACAACTACTTTTTGGAATAATTTAAAAAATTACCAGTGGTGTCCTCAAACATTTGAACTGTAGTATATATATATATATATATATATATATATATATATATATGGTTGGATAGATGTGAGTTTGTGACCCTGGGTTTCATGCTTTAGCGACCATATATATATATATCTGGGTGTGTGTGTGTGTACATGCCTAAGTGTATGTACCTACTTGTATATGTTTTTTTGTGTGTATTAGTATGTGTTTTTGAACATAGAAATATTTGGTCCTTGCGAAATGAGACAATCGTTATATTCATCTTCATATATTTATATTTGATTTAATTTTCCCAATTACGAAGCGGCCCTTTATGTAAACACATTTTTATTTTCCTTCGTCCCATCCCTCTCCCCAACCTTTCTTTTTTTTTTTTTTTTTTTTTTTTTTCCCTTCCTATCCGAATTGTCTGTGGTGTGTATATGTCACCACGAAATGTATCTTTATGTATTAGACATCCGTCGACTTTCTTTCTCTCCTCTTTTTAAATCCACCCCACCCCCCACATCTCCAAAAAAAATTCTCTCTGTCACTCATCCTCATACTTACACTTTCTCTAAATTCTGTTTTGATTTCCGGAGTTGTTTTTTTTCTGTTTTCATTTTGAATTTGTAGGTCTGATGATTTGGATCGTATTTACGATTCCAATGGAATAAATTATGACCATGGAATATTAGTGTTTAAGCCTTATTATATATATATATATATATATATATATATATATATATGAACGGACTGAAATAGATGAAGAGAGAGGGAGAGAGAGATAGACAGAAGGCGAGAGAAAGAGAGAGAAAAGGAAAGAGAGAGAGAGAAGGAAAGAGAGAGAGGAGGATAGAAAGATGAGGGCGGGGCATTTTGGAAGTGACAAACCCAGAAAAATAAGGGAGATTCAGAAAAGGAAATTAGGTGAAATCATTTTCAGAAAGTAGAAATTGAATACATAATTGGAAACCGGTTTTTCATCTAAACCGTCGACAATGTGAATCGATTTTTAACCGCAAAGCATAAAGGACATTAGAAAACTAGAATATTTAACTGAATTTCTTGGCCTTCCTCTTGTAACTTTTATAAGCAATTCGGGCCAGTTTCCTCGTCTGTGTTCGCTTTATAACCGTTCAACAGCTGTACTCCTCAGCTATTTCACAAATTCAGTTCCTCAGACAGGTCATCCAAACCTGAAACCAACCTAAACGATCAATGTAAATGATATAAGCGTCCTTGAAAGGTCGTAAGGGGCTCCTTTTTAATTCAGAAGAGCAATACATTTTTTTCAGATATTCGTCAGGCAGGTTATCCAAATCTAAAATCAACCTAAAGGATCATTGTAAATGATATAAGTGGCCTTGAGATTTTAAACAAAATGTCATAAGGGGCCCCTTTTTAATTCAGAAGAGCA